TGTATTTCTACTTATATTTTCATGTACTTATATATTCTTTTTCCGACAAAGGAAAAAAAAAATATTTATTAACATTATGAATTTTTATAAATTCTACTTATGTAAATAATGTTTTTTAAACATTCATAATTTTTTTTTATTTTCTTAATATCAATCATAAATATATTATTTTAAATTTTGATTGTATATATTTTAAAATTTAACAATTTAACATAAATAATAATTTAACAATTATTAATAATAAATAATAGTTTAACATTTTAATCAATTTTCTATTACTTCGTGAATAAGAATTTCTTTCAGTTCCTTCTCTAAAAGTAGGAATTTAATTAAAAAAAATAGTACATAAATATATATGTTCAGCTCAAAAATCTTAAAACTTCTACTTTTATTAAAATTTCAATATTTAATGAAAATTATAAATTTTATAATTAATTGGATATTTTTTTTAAACAAAATTATTAATTTTAGGATATTACATAAATAGTAACTCGATTTTTAACACATAGTACTTTTTAAGTATTTGCTGATATAAAAAGACACATCAACTTTTACTTAAATATATATTGTTATTCAATATATAAGATCGTATAATAAATATTGACTATATTAAAATAATTAATAGATTTATATAGTTATTAAATAATATTATATGAAATTAAATAATATTTCTTTATATCTTTTACGATTATTTAATTTTTTCATTTTTTAGAAAACTGTATTTCTATATTTTATATTTTACATTAAATTTACACCTGTTCCAATGTATGAATAAATTCCAAAGCAAATTGTCATACAAAATCTATACAATTAAAAGTTTTCTCTCTCGAATAGATGAATAAATGTTACATGAATTCAAAATGAATCGTATTACAAACATTAAAAATATTTAACAAATCCCTCTTGAGATATTAAACAATGGAATTTGATATAGATTACAATTGACAAAATGTTTATCAATCAGAAAATTGATAAATCTCAGGTATTGGAAACAATAATATTTCGTTCTTTTATATTTTGTTTATATACGTATTGATTATGGATTATGGATATTGATTAAAATGCATATATAGATAACATTCGAAAAAAATTTTAGATATTGAATTATAATAAGTTGAAAGCATAAAATTTAAAAAAAAAATTTAAAGTTTTTTAAAAGATAATTATTATAAACAAAATTTTATATATTCTCTTGAATTTTTTAATTTTGTTATTTGTTATATAAATTTCAAATTTTTCTGAGTCATATTTCAAATTTTTAACATTTAATGATGTAAAATGAACATAAAATAAATATATCATATTTTGAATTACTGCTCGTAACTTGAACATATTTTGAATATATGTTATGAGAACTATAAAAAAGTGTAGAAATACATATATATATTATAAAATTCTATATAATGTTGCAACTTATATATAATTAATATGTTAATAAATTATTAAGATAAATTAATTTATTGATAATTTTTATAAGATAGTTTTTTCCATGTATTATTCTATCAAGTATTCTTAGAACGTTATGAATATATACGCCAATAAAAAATGAAATTACAATTGTATATAATTCAGTTAGCCATGAAAATAAACGATAACGCTTTTAATAATTGAAATATTATCTGGAATTCTTGAAATTTTGATTTTCACAAACGAATATAAATAATATGTTCATTATAAATGTACAATAATTAAAATACAATAACTGAAGACAAATAATTTAAAAGTTCAGAAAGTATTAATAATAAAAGAAAAATTTATATTATTTTAATTTAATATTTTAATTTATTAATTATGAAAAAAAATTATATTAAATATGTACAATAAAATAGAAAACAAATAAAATAACAAAAATGAATTAATGAGAAGAAATGAGATGTTAAACGAAACTGTAGTAAGAATATTATGTACATCTAGAAGATCATAATGACATTATTTAATATTACCTCGTTTAAAACTGTGCTTTTCAAGATTATAATTCACGCGCAACGCTTATTACTATCATATTGTTACATAATTTTATATAACTATAATGATTGAAATTGTCGAATGAAAAATATCGATATTTAATAAAAAAATATCAGTATCAATATAATAATTATTTAATTACATAATAATAAATGCATTAACATGTTTCATTTTTTTTATGATCTTATCATTGCACAAAGATATTAAAAAATATTTTAACGATATCTAATGAATTATTTATCTAATGATTTTATTATTCCTTAATTATGATAATTAATTTAAAATTAATATCATAATTAAAAAATATTATAATTTAAATTTATAATTTCAAAATAATTTTTATATAAAAATAAAAAGATAATAATAAAAAATATATAATGACGGCATAAGTTTTTGCTTCTATAATGAAATAATATATAGTATTTAAATATTTTAAAATAAACATTTACCTAACATTATCTTAATAATAATATTTTAATATAGATGAATTATATAAATAAGATATCTTTAAATGATTGATTTTCTCTTTATATCTGTTATATGTTATATTATTAACTTGTTTCATTATTTCTAATATCAATTATTTAACATCTATGTTTAGCAATTTAGCAATTTAGCAATTATTAGCAAACATTTAGCAATTTTCAAAAATATTCAATAATTAAAAAAAAAATGTTAAAAAAATATATAACAATAAATTTCAATTTTTATTCCTAACAAGAATGATAATTTTTCCTTTCAAGAAAGATTGAAATTTTAATGATAAATCCCTGAAGTATGTAAAAGGAAAAAAAGAAAAAAAAAAAAAGAATATTTCTGAATCATACTGCTAATTTATATATTTTCTGTATTTACTAACACTACTATTATTGAATCATTAGCGATATAATATATTTATATCTCAGGAATAAACACATAAAAACAATTTATCAAAGTACGCTTTATCAAATGCTTTTTGTCAAGTGAATAATCTTTAATAAAGATAAGAATGAAGTATTAGATAGATTAGAAAACTTTTGTGAGAATGTGTTGACCGATATTTCGAAAATACAATACGAGAATGATATTCGAAAAGTTTGAACTAAGAAGAAAAGAAGTTTAAATTGTTCAAGAATTATGACTCGGAAACGGAGAATAATGATTTTTCTGCATTGCTTAACTGCAATGTGAAATGTCTATAAAGAAAAAATCAAAAGATTATATAAGTAACTACATTGTTCTTCATTGTATAATATTTCAAAAAGAAGAAGAAATATAAGAAATATAAAAAAGCAATATTTGTAAAGATTAGAAAAAAAAAGAAGAAACAATTTTTTTTTACAATGATTATAATTTAGTAATAAAGAATATATTTATGTTTTTCTAAATTAAAAGTTCTATTGTAAAAAAATAATATTCGAATAATTTAAAATAATTGAAAATTAATTTTTTAAAAATTATTTTAGAAACTTATATTTTAAAAACTGTTCTTTTAAAAATTTATATTTTATTCATGAAAACAAGATTTTTATATTTATTTTAATTCTAATCGATGATTCTAATAGATAATTTCTATGATTATGAAATAAATTAATGATAAAAAGATTGAGTAATTATATTTAATTGCAGTTATAACTATAAAATATTTACATATATTTCTCGATATAATTAGAATATTTAATCTTCTAAAAACAAAACAAAACAAAAAATTTCTGACATAAATTTTTTTTTAAATATTAATTTTTGACTTTATATTATTTTTAATGTGTTGATTGATGATTTCATGTTTATTTGAATGTTTAAATTACTTTGAATCTAATTATTCACTAGTTTTTTTAATTTTCCGAGATGCAAATAATTTTTTAGCAATGCAACGTATTTTCAATGTTGTAATATATCTTTTATGTTTCAGAAATATATGCAAATGTTAAAACAAATACAGAAAAATACATGTACATAATATGAATTTTTTATTTTCATTTAATTATGATAATAATGAAACATGAACGAATATATCCTTTCTTTCTCTTTTTTCAATAAAAATTTTTCATTGAAAGTATTTTTTATTCGATTAAGAAATTAAAGATAATGTGAATTTAATTTTTTTCAATTTTTAATTTTTTCAATCGATTTGAAATAAAGATTAAATTCTAAATAAACGAGATTAATTAAATTTGAAATAAAAATTTTTTAATTTAAAATATTTATTATTTATAAAACGAATATATATAAAAATTTCATTTTTTATAAATAATTATAAATAATACTAATAATATATATAAATTTTAAAATTCTTTTAAATTTCTTTTAAAAACTTTAATGGAAGAAACATAAACTTTTCTTATATATTAATATTTCTCAATGTATAATTAAGGAGACTTTCCGTGATTTCTTTTAGTCATGCAATCGTTTCTCTTGAATTTTAGCATTATGAAAATTCATATATAATATACAATACGACAAATTTTTTATTTATTTTAATATCAGTGAAAAATTATATAATTTTTTATTAAAAAAATAATAAACTTTCAGAAAGAAAAAATGATACAAAAAAATCATAAATGAAAAGATATATATACACGTATAAAGATATTTTTTTAAATTTACTTCATTAATATATGATTTTAACTTACTAAAAATAGCGATGTGTAAATTAAAACATTTCACATTTTAAATACACATTACTTAGGCATATTCAAATAAAGAATTATTGTCATTTAGCCTGCTTACATTAATATTATATAAATATATGACATGACATATTTTAATATAATATTTTTATCATATATATATCATATTTTTATCATATATTTTTTTATTATTTATATGTTGCATGATAAAGATATAATTTTTCAATAAAAAAATGAAATTTTAATAAATTTTTTTCATATTTATTTTTTCATAACGTTTAGTATTTATTACCTAATATCGTATTTTATACATTTCGTAATATTTCGTATTATTAGAAAAAGGAATAAAACATAATCGATGGATTGTGCAATTTGTCCAATTGTGATCATCTGATTACAATAAAAAAAGAAAAAAGTTGAACTCACCACTAATCAACGATTCAAGATTCTCGTGGCTCGGACTCATAAAACTTTTAGGCACAGGCACACCAACAATGAGACATTTTATAGCTAATCGCCACCTGCTTGCTTCTCGTAGATTATCTTCATATTTGTCAAAACTGCGGAATCGTAGCGTGATCGTCGTCCTTTCTCGTCTCTTGACACCTTTCATACGTGCTTTCTTCAATGTGTAAGCATAGATATAAAGATAGGCCGAGGTATCGAACTCATCATAACATTGATATGCTTCTGCAGACTCGACTAGCTTGAATTGAGATCTCGAAGTACCTGGCCCACAAACACAGCTTCCCGCGCTTTTACGTTTCGAACGCATACATCTACACCCTATTATGTCGTTTAGAATGATCGTTTCAACCTTCGTCGTACCATTATTGTCTTTCTCTAGGCTAAGGCCCTTTTCTGTTAGTCTCACCTTATAGTAAGTGTTTTTTTTGGACGTAACATAAAAGGTTTCTTCGAGAAGAGTAGAATGTACTTGACCACTGTCCTCCATGACACGCTGATCACTGTCTTTCATTCAATAATAAACATAAATCACACTGATAATCGTCCCATAAGATCATTATCATAATTAAGGCACTTAATAAACACTTTGATAAAGTTCTTTTTTCTGCCACTGCAAAATATTGTTGCTTCATATGATTCCATTTAAGGAAGAGTATTGATAATCGTTCAATTGACTTAATTTTTACTCACTGTTTTTATCATTTTATCAAGCATTTCTTTGTCATTTGATTATTCAACCTGTCGTGTTACGAATTTAACGGAACACGTGCATTTTCCGACTAATTTATTTCTGACATTATCCTTATTAAAGGATTTGTTTTGCAAAAGATATTTAAGTCATATTCGCATGTATTGAAATTTTTTCTGAACCATTTATGGTAATCGAAAGAATTCTGTTATATTGACGTACAATTAAAAAAAATTATTTCACCACTACTTTGGTTACTTCTGTACTTGTACGCATTCAAACATTGAACTGTTTCGAACACACCGAAGTCACGGTATATACTGTTTATGTGAAACTTGAGACCAGACAGACCAATTGCTGGAACACCATCAGCGCTATCTTGTGTGAAAAAACTGTACTTTACTATAAACATACTTTTCGTAATGTAAAAAAATATGAAAATGAATTTTATATATATATATATACACATATGTATATATATATATATAAGTTATATAATATGTGTGTATGTGTATATATGTGTGTGTATAAATATAATTTTTTATTAAAATATTTTTAAAAATTTCAAAAAATAATTCGAATTCGTTAATAGAATTTACTAGTTAGAATTAGAATTAATTGATTTTTTTTTTTACTTTATTAATTTTCATTTTTTCATATATGCGTATAACATGAAGTTTTGGTAATGTTAGTAAATATTAATAAAAATAAAACAAACAAGTTCTGATTGTGTATCTTTAAATATTATTATGTTGAATTATAAATAAATTAACAATATTATAAATCTAATACGAAAATTAATAGAATTTTTTATATATTTTATATGAATTATAAATATATATGAGAATCAATTAGCAAACTCATAATTATTTTTTATATCATAATAGAAGCATAATATGTATTATTATATATATATGATTTTATTAAATGGAATTTATATTTTTTCTACAAATAAATTTGTTTTTGTTAAAATAATATTAATAAAGTCAAAATTATATATAATATATAATTAAAAATTGTATTTTGATAATAATTATTAATAATAAAATGATTTATTAATATATTAAAAAGATATTAAAAAATATTATTTATATAAATTAATTTTTATAAATAAAGCATAATATTTAAATAATATATTATACATTATATATTATATATATTATTATAACTTACATATAAATATATATATATATATTTTTTTTTTTTCAAATAATTATGTATGATAATTTTTAAAATTTATTTTTTTTTTTTTTATCTT